ATTTCCTCAACAAAATCATGTACATCAAATATCAGCGAGTCCAGTAGAGTCCGATGAAGATTTTGGAGTGCTGCAAAGGAATCATATGATGCAGAACATAGATTTTCTCCATTTCCTCCTGTTCTTAATCATTACATCCTTTTCCAAGGCCTCCCAGAATTTCAAATTCTTCTACTTCAATTACGTAAAACAAAACCCTTGGGGTTTAACTTCCACATCCAGCAGTTTTCTTAAGATATGCCCATCAACAATACTTTCCTCCTGAAGGAATAGGGTGCAAGCTATCAACACCTTCAAATTTAATTTTTCTACTTCAAAATGATGGCTCACTTATCCTTCTATCTTGAGTGGAACTCATCTTTATTCAAAGATTACCTTTTCTAAATTCTAGTTTAAACATTCAATTTTATTATTGTGATAAAATACACAGAGCATAAAACTTACTATTTTTAACTTACAGTTTAGCAGCATTAAGGACATTCAGGTTGTTGGGCTGCCATTACCAACCACACCCATCTCCAGAGCTGTTTTAGCTTCCCAAACCGAAACTCTGTGTGCATTTATAAGGCCGGGGAGAGAAAATTCTGGGGCAAAATACCTCTAAAACCTAAATCAAAGGGAGAAAAAAAGTTTAAAACCTGTTTATTGCTTACAAACTGCAGTCCAGGGCCTTCTCTCTTTCCTGCTCTGGCAGAAGCAAAACCTGCCCTCCGCTCACCCTTCAGGTCCAGATAAGCCCCTGGGTTGCCCAGGTAATTACCCACTGATATGGAGATGAGCTTCTCTCCACCCCCGAGGATATGCAAATACACCAAAGCCAGGCGAGACATTCTGGAAATGTTACAATTTTACCCACACTGTTCAATACTAATTCCCCATTCCCTCTCCAGCCTCAGTCCTCGGAAAACAACTGTTCTATTTTCTGTCTGTATGAATTTAACTATTTTGTACCTCATCTGAGTGAATAATAAGATATGTTTCCTTTTGTATCTGGCTTATTTAACCGAGCATACTGTCCTCAAGCTTCATCCATGTTGTAGCATGTGTCAGAATTTCCTTCTTTTTAAGTTTGAAGAATATTCTATTTATGTATATATCACATTTTGTTTATCTACATGCCTGCTCATCAGATGGGCTGCTTTTACCTTTTGGCTTTTCCCAAAAATGCTGCTATGAACACTGCTGTGCTAAGATCTGTTTGAATCACTTCTTTGGGGTATATATCCAGAAGCGGACTTGCTGGCCCATATTGTAATTCTATGTTTAATTTTTTGAGGAATTGCTATACTGTTTTCCACAGTGACTGCACTATTTTATCCCACCAGCAATGTAGAAGGATTTCAAGGATTTCAATCTCTCAACAACCTTGCCAATACTTATTTTCTGTTTTTTCTTCAGTATTTTTCATGCAAATGGATTTGACATTTTTGAATTTTTGAAACTAATATATACTGAGATTTTCTTTTATTTTTACTGTTATTGTTTTAAACACATTACTTTTCAAATCTCAAGTCAGCCAAAACATTAGCCTCTAAAATTTTGGCAAGTGGTTTTCATCTATAAAATCCATTTGCTGAGGAACCACTGTACTTGAAGACTAGACAATCTTTCCCCACAATGGACTTGACATTGGAAAAGTAAAGTCCTAACCTTGGCATCACTAGAGTCTGTAAATAAGATCAGGCGAGTTGAACTGTGTGATGGAGACAGGTTTTTATGAAGTGAGCATAGGACACATCCCTAACCCCTGACAGCCTCACAGCTCACCTGGGGTGCAGCTCCACGAAAGGCAAAGACCTCCAGCTGAAATTCAACAGGCGCTGATTCTAAGTGAATACAGGGAGTATAAGTCTATGTGAACTTGCAGCTGGTAGGGGGAGGGGGGGCTGTGCCTCTGGTGAGAGCAGGGGCATTGTGAGGGAGGGGCCCCCTTATTCATTCTGAGGTGAGGGGCTGTGCTGTGCAGTCGTGTGGACTCACAAACTGGCAGAAATACAGAGGTCTGCTTGGTGCTGGTTGACTCGAGTCAAGGGGGGAATTCTCTATGCCTTTTTGAGACATGTGTCTTTTAAGCACATCTTCTTTGACCATAAATTCAGCACTGTTTGACAAATGGACCAGCCTTAGTCCTGTCCTGGGTCTTGTCAAAGCCAGCACATTGCAAAATAGCTCATTTTCTAAGAATACTCAAAATCAGCTTTTCCCCCATCTTTATGATAAGAATCTTGGTATCTCTTTGACTTGAGCCTTCATGGTCTCCATTAGAAAAAGGTATGTAAGCTAAGAGAGAGACAGGGATGCAAATGAAGAAAATGCTGAGGATCTGGAATGGAAAGACCTGCATCAGGAGTTTCCTTCTGTTTGCTGGACTCACCTGCTCTCAAGAGCCACAGAGCCACAGAGAAGCCTAGTGCCCACGGCGGGTCGGTTAGTGAGCGGGGATCCCCCAGCCCAGGGCTCTCCTGGGTCTTGGGACGTCAGTACTCCCACAGGCTCTCCTGTTGGCTCCATTTTTATTTTATTTGACTCAAAATCATTCTCCCTTTCTTTCTTTTTTCTAAGCTAGGGCAGTGCTCGAAGGAGCTGGGTTTGGGGAATAGGCTCACACCCTAGTTTTTCTGATCTTCCTTCGAGGCTTTTACTCCTCTGGGTGCGCTTGTCCCTGGGTATCCGTTATGCTCCTTCAAACTCCCTCGCAGCCTACGCTTCTTTATGGTTTTGAGGCACTTCCCACATCCCCCAGGAAGTTGGAGTAGTATTCTTGCAGTGGCTGAAAGGTCACCGATCTGCCTGATACGATTAGGAAGCCTTTCTATCGCCCTCTCCCTGTAACCACAGCTCTTTCCTGGAGCCTGCATGGTGCTTGCCTGTCATTCCCCAGCTCGGCAGCAGTCCTAACTCCTTGAGTCGCCATCTTGACCTCTCCTCCCCCCCATATGCTACTTTTTTTTCCATCACAAACAACTGAAGCAACTGGAACTCACATTCCTGGTGAGGAGGCAACATGGTACCACCACTTGGGAAATGAGTGTCGGCACTTCTTACAAAGTGAAGTGAGGGCTTCCCATACAACCCAGCAGCCCCGCCACTGGGTATTTACCCGAGAGAAGTGAACATGTATGTCCACACAACACTCTTGTACCAGAATGCCACTGATTGCATCTTATTTATAATAACCAAAGTCTAGAAACAACCTAGTTGTCCATCAATATGTAAATGAAGATGCAAATGGTGGTAGAGTCACACAATAAAAATATACATACAATAAAAAGGAACGAATTGCTAATACACATAACCATTAGGATGAATAACAAAAAGGTGCCAGTTCTCAGCCTCAGGACTTAAATATATGGAAATAAAGAGGGCCAGGGGAAAAAACCCACAGGTATCAGTGTGGAGAGGAAGCCCAGAGCTGGGTGGACACGAGAAGGCCAAATGGCCATCTCAGTGCAAGGAAGTACAGAGGGTGAGAAAGCGCATACCCAACCCAGTGTCCGCTGCCTCTGAACCCAGGGGAGCAGAGATCGTTTGAGGCCTGCGGTGTGTAAGCAAGTGTGTGTGCCGATGTGGAGCTTTGACCAGGACTCAAACTCGGGGTCTAGCCTTGAGTGGAAAAAAGAGAAATCAGAAAACAGTCAAGCTGAATTTAGAATAATGGAATTGGTGGAGAGAGAAAGACACATATTTCTCAAACACGTTTCCCAAAGGCTGGGTCTCCTGCTGTCCTTAGCAGCTGGCTGCAGTCCTGGAACCGCGGGCGGAAGTCCCTTCTCTGATCCCCCAAAGCTCAGAGCTTCCTGAAGCCGAGGGACAATAGCTGTGGCAGCAGAAGCTCCTGGTTTCCTGGGAAGAGAGGCTCAGAGATGGAGGGGCCTGCGGAGTCCCAAGCGGCACACCCCTCACAGGCTGCTTTCTTCTTGTCCTCAGGGCCTCTGTTGGGGGCGACTGGTGGGGACACAGGTGTTTGGAGGATCGCTGTAAAACGTTACACCAAACAGTCCACTTTAGAGCAGGCTTGGTTTATTTCATGATAAAAGAGGCATTAAAAAAATACCTGGTCCGGGTGTGTTCATCTTCTAACTAGTTGACAGGGGAGAGTCACACTCCAGGAAAAGAAACCCCACACTCTAAAGATGTGCAGAGAATGTAGAGTTGCCACATCCGTTGAACTGGCAGGTGGTATTATGGTCTGGCACTGCCCTCAGGGGTCCCTGTTGTCCCTGGAGCGCCCTCTACAGGAGAGAGGAGGGAGCCTTCCCATCCCTGCAGACATCTGACTCCCCGGGACCCAGGGCTCCCCTCAGCCCTTCGGGTCTGATGGCATGTCAGGACCGGGGCCACCACAAGGAGCACTGCCAGAAAATACAGGGTTCAGCAAAGACAGTCCCAAGTATGAAGAGAAAAAAAGAGCAGGAGCATCTGTTGTAGACATCTGTTGTAGACCTTTCCTGCTCTGGAAAGCCAGGAAGCCTTCCCCTCGCGCTGCCTCTTGTGAGCAACAATCCAGGGCCATCAGCTCTGTGGCTGGTAACGCAGGAGGTGAAGACCTGAAGAATTAGGACAAAGAGAATGAGGATAAAGAATCAAGCCCCAGGTGTTAAAGCTCTTGTAGGAGAGAAGCTCATGAGCAGCTGAGGTCAGACAGCGCCCTGAGAACTGTGAGCCAGACGGGACAAGGGAGCTATTGTTCTCGTGGGAGGAACAGACAGGGCCATGTGGTGAGGGTCGAAAGCTCTGAGCATATGTGGCACTGGGATCAGGGCTGAGGTCCAGTGTCTAGCTTGTAGGGAAAGGGAAGTAGAAAAGGTACCTGCTGGAAGGAGGCTTGGTAGGGTTTCTGTGGCCAGACTGACTTCCCAGGGCACAAGCTGATTGGAAGATACTTAGAAGCAGTTCAACTTGACCCGTGTGTCCTGTGTCCAATTGCAGCACAGTCCTGTGCAAGACAAAAAGCAGGCCAGAGGCTGGGAAGCCTCGTGGAACTTGGCATGCCATGCCCACTAAATTGCCAGGCAGTGTTCTGGCCTGTGATTTCTTTCTGGGGTCCTACAGGAAGTGTTGATCTGAGCCTGGGTTGCTCCAGCAGCTTCCTGGTGGGACCCAGGGGGTTTGTGCACAGGGAGAAGGGGCCACTGCAGGGCTGTGTCTTTGCTGCTGGCACAGAGATACGTGGCAGAGTCTTCTGGTTCCAGGGCGTCCAAGTGAAGTTTTAAGCGGGAGCTGTCTGGGCATTCAGGCCAGAAGCGGCTTGGGACAGTATTGTTTTCAATGAGTTTCACATAGTTGTAGACAAACATGAGCTCCGGTGGCTTCTGAGCACTTTGTTTATACCAGTACATGGCATTATGTCCCATATGTTGTTCACATTCCAAAGACTTGTTATTTCTCATTCCCATAACTAGGTATTTTGGTGTCTGAGTCATTCCAGTATCCATAGAGGCTGTTAGAAGAAAGGGACAAAATTCAGACACAGTCCAGAAGAAAGTGTTGGTGTAGCCACAGGAAATGGCGTGGAGCCTGTCTGACCCCAAGACTCACCTGCTCCCAGGAGGCAGAGAGCCGCACAGCAGAGCAGCCTGCAGCCCATGGTGGAGGCCAGGCCTGGGTGGGCATGGCTGCCTGGGGTGCCCAGGCAGGGCGCTGGGCGTGGTCTGCCTGCGTTTGGTTGGTGGTGTTGCCTGTGATGTCACATCACTGACAGTTTCCCCAGCCCCAGGGGAGATGTTTTCCTCCCCCTTTCACGCCTCGTGCAGAGGCTGGATATCCCTCTGGCAGCAGCCCCTTTGCCATCAGCTGCCTCCTCACTGTACGCATCCACCTCCATCCCCCTCCCTCCAGAGACTCCCTTCAGCAGCAGACCATTTCCCTTTCAAGGGGGCTCATTCCTCTCCTGCTCCACCATGAGGTCATTACTCACAAGGTTGTTCTCTCCGATGGAGCCCCTTTGCCAGCTCCAGTCATCGGGGAAGATTGGAGGGTCGTGGTTCCATTCTGGACGAGTGTCCATCATTAAACAGGCACTACTGAGATGCCAGCCAGCAGCCAGGCATGGTGCTAGGGGACCATACAAGGGATAAGTCACCGCCACCCCTGTATTGAGGGGTGGGCTTGGCGGGGCTTAGAGCAAACAGGTTGCTCAAAGACAACACCACAAAGCATCTGATGGAAGGCACAAAAAAAACCAATTTGCAAATAAGTTTAGTTTAGTATCTTGAGATGTCTACAACAGATGCTCCCAACGGATGCAAGGATGGAGCCCCAATGGTCTACTTCCCTCCTCACCCCACCCCTCCACTCGGCACTTACCCCGCCCTCAGCCTAGGCTCAGAACTTTCAATAGAGCCACAGCTCCTCCTGGTGGCCAAAGTAGCACATTGCCCAGCCGGCAGGCCTCTTACCTGCCCACTGTGGGCGGGCAATCCAGACCTCTGCCTTCTTCCACAGATTGCGGGTGGCTCTGATGGACACGAAAATCTAGGGAAGAGGAAAGAAGCACCTGAAACAATAAAGGCAGCTGGCAGCACGGCCAGTCATACACATGGCCCAAATCCTAGGACCTGGGATTTTTGCTCTACAGAGATGGGCCAGGTGTGGGTCCTTAGTAAGGACCAAGCACAGCCCTCAGATGTTATGACAGCCCCTGCGGAGTTGACCCCCTTGGGGACTCCACCTGAAGGCTCTCCCTTCTGATCCATGCCGCGACCAGTGTTACTGCACCAGATAACAAATTTTAACCTGTTATCCCGCTTAAGGTAGGACCAAGCTAGCTACTGCCTGGAGATGGGTGTCCACTGTCCTTTCCACACTGTCATCTGGCCACTGGCTGCTCTGGAGTCTTCAAGGAGCACCTGCAGTCACAATGGGGAGAATCGTCCTTCTTGAAGGGACAGAGTCAGCAGGGCACAAGCGTCTGTCGATTGGCACCCATCACCCACCGTTGCTAGTTCACCTACTGAGACTGACTTTAATGTCCTCCAAATAGTTCTTGTGAAGCCGTGAACTCACTGAGTATCTGAATTTCCTTGGAAACCTTCATCTTCACCTCACTTTCCTCTAGACTTTGTTCCTCAGACATTATTAGAAAATAGTGTGTTTTCAAATATATGTACTGCATGTAATAGTAGGTACAGGAGAGAAGGGCAAGGAATGGCTTCTTCTGCCAGTTAAGATCTTCAGGTTATGGGACCAGGTTCTTTCTTGTTGATGGAATCCTGAATTTATTGGAAAGCCCTGCTCCAGCTGAGAAGCAGAATTCTATGAGGCTTCTTTGGGCATAAAATGTAGAATTACCACCTTGGGTATATTGGGAGCCTGTACTACAGACTGAAAGTCCAGTCAAGGGTGTCACAGGGGTGAATGGGGCCCCAGGCTCGGGTGAACAGGGTGCCCACAGTTTCCTGGCTGGGCCATGGGGTTTGTGCACAGGCAGACGGTGACTCTGCAAGGCTGTGTCTTGACTGCTGGCACACAGATACATGGCAGAGTCACCTGCCTCCAGGGAGCTGACATGAAGGTTTAAATGAGCTCTGTCAAGAGATTCCGGTGAGAAACGACTTGGAACTGTGTCATTTAGAATGAGGTCCTTGTTATTATAGATAAACATAGTCTTCAGGGGTTGCTTGGAGTCTTGCTTAAACCAGTACATGGTATTATGGCTCAGCTTTTGTTCACATGTTAGGAACTTCTTACTTCCCACCTGTGTGATGAGGTATTTTGGAGTCTGGAAAACCGCTGTGTCCAAGAGGTCTGAGAAGGAAAGAAGCAGAATTCAGACAAGTTCCAGGAGGTGGCCTGGCTGGCGGCAGCTGAGGCACTCAGGGGGATGGGGTCCCCAGTGCCCAGGACTCACCTGCTCCCAGGAGGCAGAGCGCCACACAGCAGACGAGCCTGGAGCCCATGAGGAGTCGGGGTGGCCTTCAGTGGGAAGAAGAGCGGGTGCAGCTCACCACAGCCCCGCAGGGCGGTCTCCCTGTGATGTCACCGCCCAGAATGACTTCCCCATCCACGGGCTCTCCGCCAACAAGCTCTTTTTCAGGTCCTACCCTGGCTCCTTTCAACCCATTTTAATTTCTACCCCTTTCAAAGGAGTTCGGAATTTCTGGGGGTAGTTTGAGTGGGGTGGGCATGTGTCCTGAAGGACGTTTCTCCGAGGGTCATTTTGCACCAGCAGCTGCCTCCGTCCCCGTTCCCTGCCCTGGGATCTGCCCCCTGCCTCCCTTCCTCTCGCCCTGGGCTCCTCTCTCAGAGTCAGGCTGGTTCCCCTGCCCCAGACCTTCTGCTTCTCCTTCACTACAACGCAGGACCATCCCACTCAAATCTTGGCCCCCCTGAATGTCTGACGCATGCTCAGCGGCGCTCCTGACTAGTTCAGAGGGACAAGAGGTTGACGGCGAGGTCTCCCTGAGAACAAGCTCCAGGCTCTGAAACGCCCGAACTCGCGTCAGGAGCTCAGTCCGCTGGGTCCGTGAGGAGGAAGAAACTGCAGCCCCACTCCTGGCGCTGCTCTTGCTCGTCCAGGGCAGAGCCACGCGGGGATAAGTGGCTGCCAGGGTGTAGGAAGTCACCGTGCGGTAGCAGCACCTTGACCGCAATGGTGAATAACGGCCTGGAAGTGGGGGGAAATACGTGGGATGGTATTACTGTCCTTGAATTGCCTGCGTGTCACCTCTTTTGGCACAGTTAGCAACTCAACGCCTAGCCTAGGATTTCTCAACTTTGGCAATACTGACGCATTGCTCCGGATAATTCTTTTTGTGGGGCTGTCCTGGGCACTGCATGCCTCGTCTCCACCCACTCCAGACGTCGTTCAATCGCCCCTGCTGAGGGCACCCTCCCCTTGATTCCTGAACAGTCCTCTGCTGCCTGGTGGTGTTGGTGGGGCCACAGCGCCTCCTACTGGTCAGGGAGGCTCCGTTCTCAGATCAGCGCCTCCTGAGTCAGGCCCCAGCCCTTACCAACAGGCCAGTCAGCAAGAACACAGTGTACGACCAGAGGGCCAGGGAAGCAGGGCTGCCCCAGAGGCGCCTCACACACCCACCCACACACTCACACCCACACGCGGCCACCACAGCGATCGGCAACACTAACTGTCAACTACTGGGGAAGCCCCATCAAAGACAGCTCCCAGTGGCTCTTTCCTTTTCTTTCATTTATTGCACACAGAACAAGTACGAAGGATACTAGTGAACAAACCAGAAGTGACCACAAGCTTCCTGGAGCCTTTAGCATGCTTCATTTGTTCGCAGTCACTGAATGGCTACTTAGTACAAGCATGAGTAAGACATTCTCAATCTCACAGGGTTTATATTCTGATGGGAGCAAAAAGAAATTCACACATCACTCTAGACTAGAAATATAAAATAAATGTTCTATGGAGGATAGGGCAAGAGTATTAACACAGTTAAGTACTGTCCTTTCAATGGCTTCACAGTTTTTCACCTACAAAACCGTGGACTGCAGTAATTTACAAGTCTGTGACCAAGTTCAAAATTGTCTGATCCCAATTTAGATGTCCACTGGGCTAGTGGGTCTTATATGACCCGTGTCCCAAGTAGCTCTCTCATTGTACCACATAGCTTCCATGTGAAGCTTTTAAAAGAAAGGAAAGGAGGGAGGAAGGAAGGGATGGATGCAAGGAAGAAACTATAGAAGGAAAGAAGAAAATAGTAAAAAAACAAAACTGACAAGAAGTTACAATATAAATAGTGAGGTGATATTAGGAGGCACTTGAAACACTCTACCCCATGCACTGCTTCCACTAAGTCCAAATGTAAGGTCTTCAAGGTGGTGGCCACCTGCAATCTGTACAAACAGAGGCGGTTTAGGGCTACAGGTCTGCTGCTAATACTGTACCCAACCCATAACTGATATGTATCATCTCCTCCCTCTATCGCCAGTTCCGTATTTCCTCCAACTTTGCTCAGCACTTCAGTGGTAAGTTGCATCTTTGATGGAGTGACCCAGACAGTCATCCCTAAGGGTTTTGAGCCCTTGGGTGCCTTTCCTTCCTCAGGCCATGATGGCCACAATTGCAAAATTGTCCCCATCACCAGGAATCGCGGCACCAAGAGATGCTTGAGTTAGTTTCCTGAGTTCCAGATAAACTTACCACTGTTTCCACTGTGTAGCATCAACTCTTGTTAACCTCATGATTATCAAGATCAGTACCTCCATCCTTACCTGCTAGTCTCTCACTAAAAGGAGCCCCAAATGACCAGGTGGAGGGAGCCAAAGTGCAAGTTCGCTGGAATCCTTATTATGTCCTCTGGTGGGAGCACCCACTCACACCTCCCCACTTTCTTCAGGGAGTAGAACTTCTTACCCAGAAGACCCAAAAATACAGAAGGAAGTGCAAATTTTCAGCTGCATCCCTGGGAATAATGAGGAGAGGGATGCCAGCCAATCTTCGTCCACCCCTTGGCTCCAGGATTCATGCACACAGCCCCATATTTGATCCATTTGTTCAGTGCATGCTACATCCTAGACACTATCACCCCAGCTCAACGAGTGTTATCCCTGAGCGGGCACCTCAGTTAAGCCTTTGTCATTTCTTCATTCTACAAGAACAGGTGCTTCTGAGTATCCTGG